AGGATTTGTTTGATTTTTAAATATAATTTTAATCCCTAGTAAATTTTGCATTTTTATCATTTATTGTTTTCTTGATTTCATTGAATTATCTCTCTGCATTTTCTTCGTTTGCTAAGTTTCCTTAAAACAACTATTTTAAATTCTATGTCAATAATTTCATAGGTCTCAATTTCTTTAGCATTAGTGCTTTGTTTTCCTTGTTTGGTGGTGTCATGTTTCCCTGATTTTTCTTGAACCTTATGGGTATATGTTTGTGTCTGTTAATTTGAATAAATGAGGACTTACTCCCATCTTTGCAGACACACTTTGTCTGGAAAAGCTCTTTACCAATCAGCCTATCTAGAGATTCTGGGCATGCTATCTGGTGTGGTTCATAGGTAGAATTACTGCTTGATTTCCCAGGGAGGCTGCCCTGGTGTGCAGGTCTTTGGGGTTGCAACCTGGGGTCTGCATCCTTTGGGGTGGATCTGTTGATTGAGTCCATGTGGGTAGGCCTAGAGCCTGTGTCCATGAGGGTGTGTCTGCAGCCTGTGTCCATGGGATCTGGCCTGAATCCTGGGCTTGTATGGGGTGGACCTGGTACTGTTAGGTGCTTTGAGCCTGAATCTGCAGAAGACGGACAGGCACTAAGATGGGGCTGGAAACTGGCCTGGTATTGGGGTGGCACTGGAGCCTGAGTCTGCAGCTGCAGGCCTGGGTCCTAGGTCCAGCACTGCCAGTCTGGAGCCTGGGTCAGCAGGGTTGGTTCTGGAGCTTCAGTCTATAGGGTCTGGCTTGACATTGGTGTCTACTGGACCCTGCACCCCTGGGTTATAACCTGGAGCCAAGGATCATAGGTGATGGCTTAGTACTTGAAGCCATGAAAGCTATCCTGGAGCCTGGGCTCTATCAGGATAGGCCTAGGCCCAAGGCCTGTTGAAGCAGCCCTTAACTGTGGGTTCACTGGAGTATAGGGCCACAGGGGGTCACCTGCGGGGTATATTTTTGTACATGGATCGTTGTTCAAATTAAAGTTTCTGTAGGACTACAAGCACTGGCAACTCTTATTCACCATTTTGCTGACATCCAGATTCTATAAACTTTCTTAAGGGGAAAAATTCTGTTTAATCCTATTCTTGTACTTCACATGTATTAAGAACCTACTTTACTGAGGGCTCTGTGCTGATCTTTGGAAATAAAAATTGAATGACTATATAATAATTCCAAATAAATTAAACAGACACTCTGCCCTAAAAGAAGGGGCCATATCTCTACTCCTTAAGTGTGGGCTGCACACAGTGACCTCCTCTCAGAGAATATAGTATGTAAAGGGGAAGAAAAAGAGTAAATTTACAGCGGAGAAACCTGACAAACATTACCTCAGCCAGGTGATTAACATCATCAACAGTGATAAATCCTGTTGCTTAGTATGTACCCTTGATATAATGCAATGAAAGTGGAACTTCATAATCTTCCTTTCCAAAATCCGTAACTTTAATCTTACCATGAGAAACACATTAGACAAATTACTGTAGAGAGGCATCTTACAATATATTTGACTGGTATTCCTCAAAACTGTCATGGTCCGAAAAACAAGGAACATCTGAGGAAGTACCACAGCAAGAACCCTAAAAAGACATGATCACTAAATATATTGTGGTCTCCTAGATGGGATCCTTAAACAGAAAAAGCACTTTAGTAAAAACTAAAAAAACAAACAAACAAACAAAACTGATAAACTATGGATCTCAGTTGATAATGTACCAATACCAGTTCACTAATTGTATAAAATGTATCATGCAAAATAAAGATGATAATAGCAGGAGAAATTTTGTGTGTGTGTGCACACATGTATATTGTTCTCTATACAGTTGGCAATTGAATAACACAGGTTTGAACTACATGAGTCCACTTATATGCACATTTTATTTCACCTCGATCAACCTTGGGACACAAGATGAACCTTTCCTCTTCCTCCTCAGTCTCTTCAGTGTGAAGATGAAGAGGATGAGGACCTTTATAATGATTCACTTCCAGTTAATGAATAGCAAATATATTTTCCTTATGATTTCCATAATAAAATTTTCTTTTCTCTAGCCTACTTTATTGTATGATTACTGTATACAATCCATATAGCATATAAAATGTGTGTTAATTGACTGCTGATGTTTTGAAAAAGCCTCTGGTCAGCAGTAGGCTATTAATAGTTGTTAGAGAGTCAAAAGTTATATGTGGATTTTCAACTTCGCAGGAGGACAGTTCTCCTGGTTCCTGTGTTGTTTAAGGCTTACTCTACTACTTCTGAATTTCACCATAAATTTAAAACTGTTTTGAAAAATAAAGCTTATTTAAAAAACTACAAAAAATGTGAATGAGTTATCTTTATCCTCTTAGAGCTCAGTTGAGAAGAGACTAAAACCCCCCAAAAATTATAGTGTCATATATGCAATAATATAGGTTTGAAGAGAAAACATGCCAACTCAACTAAAACATTTAAGATAGATTACCTTTTCAACTAAGTCATAATTTAAAATATTTGAATCTCCAGTATCACTCAGCATGAATCTTACTCAAAGTCAGCATTCAAATATGTAGCAGAATGATGAGGAGGGCAGCTCCCACTTGTGAAATGATCTGGACATGGGATACTTCAATTATTAGACTTAAGTGAAGGTTAACTATGCCTGGTATCCCCACTCTAAAAGGTGAAAGTAAGTTTCAGTTCAAATTTTGCCATATATATGTTTATTACACAAAATCTGTTTTAGATGCCCAGTGAAATCCCAGGGATACTTCCTTTTATGTGCTTCAACCACACTTAACATGAAAGGTTTCTTGAGAGACAACAGAGGGAGATTTTTTCCCTTGGAGTCAATGGTAGGCAAACAGAATCATTAAAACAAAACAAAACAATAAAAGCCTAGGCAACATAGTGAAGCCACATCTCTAAAAAAATTAGTCCCAGCTACTACTTGGGAGGCTAGAGGATCACTTGAGCCCAGGTCAAGGCTGGAGTGAGCCCTGATGCTGCAGCTGCATTCCAGTCTGGATGACAGTGCATGACCCTGTCAGAAACAAAACAAACAAAAAACCCACAAAAACCAAAACCAAAACAAAACTGCAAAAACTTAAAGGCTGGACACTTGACCATTTCTTAACTCAATTTTGAAAGGTTAAGGGTGAAAGCTCACTAGGTAGTTATGTCTGGCATATACACAAATCAGAAATATCTCTAAGATACTTGAGACAATACCATCAATTTCATCCATGAAATGAGAATCCATTACTAAGATTCATCATGCCAATGAACAGAAACCTCAGCGGGGACAGTTAAGTAGAAGCTCTAGTACCAACAGCCTTTGGAGTATGGCCTTTTTATTATTTATTGTTTTTTAAATTTTTATTTAAAGCTAGCTGACCACTCCTGCAGTATGAATTCTTAATCAGAGCAAAGTGAGGGATAAATCTAGCCATCACACACTTTTGTCTTCCCGAGAATGCAGACAAGATAGCACTCTTTTCTCGAGTTACCTTGCTATTATGAAATTGGTGGTCTAGCTTTATTCTTGAGGTTTCTGTTTGTTTGTTTGTTTGAAATGGGGGTTTCACTTTGCTGCCCAGGATGGTCTCGAACTCCTGGGCTCAAGCAATCGTCCAGCCTCGGCTTCCCAAAGTATTGGGGTTATAGGCTTGAACTACCGAGATTAGCCCCTAATCCTAAATTTTAATCCGAAGTCTGCCACTGTGAGACCTTGGGCAAATCACGCTACTCCCATGGATCCCAGTTCTCTCCTCTGAAAATGAGGGCACTGGGTTAGGTCTCTCTTGCTCTTTCCATCCACATAATTAATCTATGAGCTGTCTTAGCTGACGTAGAGAAAAACAATATATATAAAAGCAGAGACATTAGCTTTAATTCGTTTGACGGTCAAATTACAGACACCATAAATATATTAGTCTCTTTGAGTGATCAGCAGCGTTAGCCAAGTGTGTTTAGGATTACACTTAAAAATATGTTGTATGCTTTATAAAGGAATCTACAGCTACTAGTGATACTAGTATAGACTTAAGTTACAACAGAAAAAAAAAAAATCCCCAAGGGAAAAATACTAACCACAGAACGTGATCAAAATTCTCAGACCTACTAACTCTGCTTGCCTTCTATCAGGGTTGGTTTCAGAGTGAATGCTCCTCTCTGGTTAGCCTTAAAACGCGGCAAACCTAAGTCATGTTTCCAACAGCAGTCACCATATTCCCTCACGTTTCCCAGTTGAAAAGCCCCAAATGTAGCATTTTTTTTTCTCTTAAAATTCCCTTGAATGATTCTTTAAGCTCAGGCATCTGCGAGGACGTTCCAGGTGCCGCCTCGCAATGCTCCCTAATCCTCTTAAAAAGAAGTCGCTCGACTGGGGCGGGCAGGCGCTGCATGGTGCGCACCTGAGCGGCCCGGACTTCCTGAGGCGAGAGGGGCGCGGGAGGGCGAGGCGGCGGCCGGGCTTCTCCTCGGCACCGTCCTCTGTCACGGCTGCCGCCTGGCCATCACCCCGTGCCTTGCGTGGGCATGTCTAGCTTCAGAAATAAGTCATTTTAGGCTCCCTGGTCCTTCCCCTGGAGAAAAAAACCGCTGGCGCAGCCCCGAGCTCACCTCCGCTCCACTGTGGGCGGCCCTTGCTGCCCTCCTGCCTCCCGTGCGTCGGCCGCGCGCCCAGGTGTTCCCGCGCCCCTCATCCCCTCAGGCCCGTGCCTCCCGGCCCTGTGGGTATTTAGCGCCTGCGGCCGCGCTCTCGTCGCGGATCCTTCCTCCTTTCCCCACCCAGCCCCGCCCAGCCTCCGCGGCGCTGGGGCTCCCGGCCGAGCCTCTCCTCCCACCTCCGTCCCCCACTTCCCTCCCCAAGAAGTGCTATTTTTAGCAAATCCTCCGCGCGCCGCCACCCGCTCAGCTCGCAGCTCGCAGCCGCCCGCTGCCGCCCTCCCGAGCTCCCCCCGCGCGGCGGCGGCGGCGGCGGCGGCGCGTCCCGCACATCGCGCAGCGCGCACCGAGCCGGCCCCGCCGCGCCCGCCGCTCTCGCCGCGGTCTCCTCCTCTAGCGCCCGCCGCGACCGGTAAATCTCGGCTGGAGGAGCAGCGGCTGTCCCCGAGTCAACTTTCATCCCCCTTTTGCTTCCTGCTTCGCCATTCTCTTCTGCTCCTCGAAAGATGGCTGTTTGGAGAAGGGGGAGAAGTTAGGAGGTCGCCGGCGCGGAGCGAAGGAGGGCGCGACTGCCTCAGCAGGAACGGGCGGAGGTGAGTGGAACCACGGCAGAGTCCCCGGCTAGTGCGTGAGGAAAGCCCTGGGAATTGGGGGCCACCGGTCCTCAGGATGCATCGCGGTTTTCCCTGCTCAGGTTCCCCAGGTTAACAGCATCTCAGTCCGGACTCGGATGCCACTTGCCTTGTATCTCGCAGCCCAGACACTGGTGGGTTTAAGGGAACCTTTGTCAGAAGTTGGGTGCTAGGTGATCTCTGTGGTTTAGACCCTGACATTTGGCTAGGCAAACTGAGGCGAGGGGTTGGTGGCGTGATTCTCTCCCGCCCTCAAACACACCCAGTTTATGTTGGAGCCGAGCTATGAATGAAAAGTTTGTACTGGCAACGTGTTGCTTGAGGGGAGCAACGCTTATTGGGGGTACCTTTGATGTTTCGTGAGGGACTTCAGTTTTAAGTCAATACTGTACCTCAGAATACTGGGTTTTAAGAAAAGTTCAGGAGTCTGGGGGTTGGGAGATGAAGCACTTCCTTGGCTAGTGGAAGCAGTGAATCGTAAGCTTATTAAGGTAAACTGGTTAATTAGATGCCAAACGAGGGTGTCATAGTGGGGACTAGAGGGAGCGGAGGACGGGGGCGTTCCCTGAGCGCCTAGCAGGCTGCATTTGTTTGGCTTTGAAGCTGTCACCCATTTGTCCGCAGTGAGAGGTGCTGGTGTCAGGCCTGTGTGTCTGTTATGTGACAGAGAGGGACTTAGCTCTCTCCATATCCGAGGCACAGTTGTCTGGAAAGGTGGCCTGCGACGGAGAGCTGAGGATGCAGTTCCTGTGATTTGGACTTGGAGAATTCTCTAGTGAGTCTCCTATGCTCTAATTTCGGGAAGATCTGTCAATTGTTTTTTCTTCCAGGGAGGTGTGTGTAACCTGCTAAAAGGAACTTTTAGCTTTAAGATTAACTGTAGCATTTTGAAATCCTGTAAGAAATGAGATAACTACATATATTCATTATTACATATACGTGGTGTGTGTGTGTATGTGTGTGTGAATAAAATGTGGGAAAGGGGTAAGAAAGGCTTAAAAAGTAACTTCTACCAGAAAAGAAAGCAAAGAGTTAATTTTTTTCTCCCCGAATGGTATAACAATGCATATACAACTAAATACTCTTGCTGTGCTGAGATTTTGCATAAGGAGTAAGATTTAGGAATTACAAGTATTCAGGGCACTGTCATGTTTTCAAATCTTGCAGGCATTACTGAAATCTGGAAAAAGGGAGTACGTACATAGAGGACCCATATTAAATGAAAAAAAAATTTAAATCTTCCAAAATAAAACCTTTTGACATTTGAAAAGGCCTGAATGTTTTTTTCTGATGGCCTGGAAATCTTTGTAATCCTGTAATTAACAAAGCACAGAATAATTTGCATTTAATAAATTAGAAATCATGTTTAAAGGATACCTTTTGAACTTCTCTTTGGTACTTTTGATATTTATTATGGAAATTATTGTGACTGAAAATTAGTTGTTTAATCTATTTGCCTTTTACCACAGATAATTAGTTCTCCTTATCCTTTTAAACCACTGTTCCAGTTTGGACAAATTTAATTCTCCAAGCATCAAATTACTGGTGTTCCTTCTGGAAACCATTTATATTTCAAATGGCTAATAAGAATATTTTATTTCTGAAACAACATAATTTAGTCAGTTGTAAAACTTGCTTGTAATTTATTCTCATCCATTTTGTTTGAATGGGGCACATTTGAAGAAGAGTAGCATTTTTTTCGAATATGCCTTTTTCTGTGTGGGAAAAAGCTAGTGTTTTCATATATATTGTAGCTATTAAACAGATGCATGTAAGGTGGGAATCCTGTCTGACCTTTGATAAACTGCCAGCCAGAAGGAGAGAGATGCTTTCCTAGCTCTGCTCATGAATTAATAATCTTTACTACAGAATGGACATGGTTAGATGCACATAAGGTTGTGCAGAAGGAAGTTAAGAGTTTTAAATTAAATACCAGTTAATAGGTAGGAAACAGATATTTTTTTTTAACCTCGATCTTACTGTTTCTTTTCTTCTGCAGTTCAGCCTGTTGGGCTGGCCTTTATTGGAGAGTCATACCAGCACTCTGACTAGAGAATGTTTAGCACACTAAACTGCCATCTTCTGTAAAAATGATGGCTCTTTTGCAATTAAAAGGTAGTTTTATACATCGTTATAGATTTTTCATGATTGGTGACCAAATTAACTGTAACCGCTATTACAGTAGAAAGAGTTGTTTTACAAAGTTATTGCCACTATATATAAATAATTAATTACCTTATATTTAAGATATAGATGCACTCTATTTGAGTTTTAGGAGTTTTGAATTGTAAGGCCAGCTGATCAGATAAAAACCTGTTTAATTAACTAATTTGAATGACAGCATGATTCAGATTTTTATTAGTATCTACATCTAGGTTTATGTAGCTTTCCTTTTTATTGGAATTACTTCTTTTTTGAATTTGTTTAAATATTACAGCATATTACGTTATAATTTGTACCCACTTAGTGGGGAAGGTGCAGGTTATTCTTAAATAGAGATGTGGAGAAATAACTAACAGGGAGAGTCATTTGAGAAACATATGGACATCATAAAATCCTTCTGCATGTAGCATCTGTACCTTCTCATTAGTGAAATATTGTACTTATGGACATTTTTTGTTATTATATCCAAGTGTGTTTTTTTATTTTTGCTTCATTGGGTTTTTTTTTGTTTTGTTTTGTTTTAAAATGTAATTTATATTGCTGTTTAAGTTGGTGGGGGCTTTTATTGCTTCAAGCCTTTGCTTTCAATAGGCATCATACTTAATTTTTATTGCATGCATCTGCAGATATATGTAATTGTTTTCCAATTTGTTATTATAATTCTTACACTTTCTGGTGATTCCTCAAAGCATTTGAGAGATAGGTAGGAGGACATATTGTTCTCATTTCAGGAAGGAGGCGGTAGGTACACTGATAGACCCAATGTTACACGATAGTGAATCAGAGTGAAGCTGAGTGTAACATCTATATTTCCTGTATATGTATTTCTAAATTTTTAAAGTGCTCATGTTTATATATATGCAGATCAGATTTTAAATCAGTCAATATAGTCATAAAGGGATGGATCATACTGTTGGCCTGTGGATGGAAGAGAACGATGACTCTGATAGCTACTGCTGAAATAAACAAACACGCATACCTCCGTGGAATATTTGTTCTTGCAGTCGGTCAATAGTCCACATATTTGTCTGCCTCTGCTGGCCTCACCCTATCAACCACCTGCTGCCCCTTTACTGATCAAAACAGCCCTTGAAGTTTATCAACACAGTTGTCAAGCTTGAGGATCATCAGCCTCACTGGCAAGAGAAGTCAGAACCTGATTTTTGGAAAGAGAGTATTGACGGGGGACCTAATGGAGTGTCCGCTATAGAGGCAGCCAGTAATGGTTCTGGGTGTCGGGATGTCCATATCTGTCAGCAGCTTTGCTTCTTTGGCTGAACTTACAGATAACAAAGTGAACAGAAGGTTTATGGAATTATCTAGTCATTTCTGTCCATGTAGACCTCATATCTGAATATATTAGACTTTTTTTTAAAAAAGGAAAAGGACAGAAACTTGTTTTTTTCTTCATCCCCCAAATCTCCTCTCCTTCAAACCCCACTAGAATTTTTTTTTTAGGATAATTGCCCACGTAATTTGTAACAGCCAAAGTGAGAGACTTCTGATATTACTACACTCAACAGTGGAATATATTATTCAGCTTGCAGAAGAAAGCACTGTAGTTATGTAGAAAATGGTAATATGTAATCTTATGCAAGTATTTTTGAATAAGCAAACAGTACCAAGAGCTCTCTATTAAGCTAGTATATATTTTTTACTCTTCCTTTCCCTAAATGTGTGGTTTTTAGGAGCTCATCCGAATCATTAAGTATTAAATACTGAAAAAAGGTTTAGGTGTGGTTTCCTATTTACTATGATGAATTTTGTTTAGAGCTTCATAGAGAGGAAAACCACTATCTATTGTTTGCTGTACCAGAGAGAGTATAACTTGTTGCTGGTAAGTTTGAGGAGTGTTGAGGTTGCTGGAAATGGTACTTTCTTCCCATTTCTACAGAAGCTGTGGTAAGAAGGAGATGGATGTGGACTGGTTTAGTTTGAATACAATAGTGATGGCTGGAATTTGAAGTGGCCACTGAAAGATGGGTAAGATTTGGATAGTCTGTATCACTCAAGGTATTCAGTAGCAAGTCATGGAAACTAACTTTAGTTAATATAAGCATTAAATAAATTTATTAGAGGATATTGACTTTGTTTTCTGTGTAACACATTTCCACAAATTTAGCAGCTTAACACAATACCCCTTTATTATATCAGTTTCATTGCTCAGAAGTCCACACATGGCTTAACTCGGTCCTCTATCCAGAGATCTTCTTCCATGTTGGCTAGGGCTGCAATCTCAACAGATCAATGGGAAAAGATCCACTTTCACGCTCTTTTCTATTATTGGCAGAATTTATCTCATTGTGGCTGTAGGACTGAGGCCTCCATTTTCTTGCTGGCTGTCAGCCAGAGGCCACCCTTAACTCTTAGGGTCTGCTATTATTCTTTGCCATGTGGCCCTCTCACAGGTACTGTTACAACATTTTTGAATCTAGCAAGGAAGTCTCTCTTGCTCCAGTCTGATAAGAAAGAGTCTTATATGCTATAATATGATAGTGAGAGAGTGACATCAGACTATACAAGAGCATGACTTTTTGGAGGTCAGCTTAGGTTATGTCCACCACATTGACTAGCTCATAGAATCTCTGGCATAGGGAGGGTACAGTGGCTCACACTGGTAATCCCAGCACTTTGGCAGGCCAAGGCAGGTGAATTGCCTGCGTCCAGGAGTTTAAGATCAGCCTGGGCAACATGGTGAAACCTCGTTGCTATAAAAAAAAAATACAGAAAAAAGTTAGCTGGACATGATGGTGTGTGCCTGAAGTCCCAGCTCGTTGGAAGGCTGATGTGGGAGGTTC